TTTGGCTTTCTTTTCCTAGATAGGGCAAACAGTTATCATGTTTTGCCATAAAGTGATAATCTATGAGCAGTGATCAAAGAAAACATTTGTTTATAAGATTATCATAGAAAAATTAAAAATAAGACAAGCAAAGCCCATCTAAAAACTGTCTTTCCATAGAAACGAGTCAGGAGGTGGGGTGGCTCAGGATGCAGGTGGACTTTGTACAGGGCCGGGCTTTGCCCTATACATACAGCCTCTGCGTCGTAGACACCTTCCCCTAACCCTCAAGATCTTTTATTGCTTCAGTGTGTGGTTAATAATGGTACCTGTTTCATAACACAGCACACACAATACAATTATTCTCGACAGATATCTCAATAGCCTGCCCACAGTGATAATAGCAGTTACCGAAAGTGTGTCAGAGGTATAGAATTTGCAAGAACATCGGGCAGACTGGTGCATTTAATCCTCATCTCAACACTTACTGAAAAAAGCATAGGTTTCTTTACAGTTCTGGGGTTGATATTTTTCCATTAGTGTTTTGACAAAAATCCATGTTTCAAAAAGCTTATGTTCTCCTTGGGAGAGTCAGATGAGAAACAAGAAAATGTAAAGTGTCATACACCTGATGGTGATAACTAGAGAAAAGTGGTGGGAGGAATTGGGAGTGGCTTAAGATAACATTTTCATCAGTAGCCTCTGTGATGAAGGTTAAGACCCAGGGGCTGGCAAGATGGCTCAGTGGACTAACACACTTTCTGAAAAAAAATTAAGAATAAGACAAGCAGCGCCCATCTAAAAACTGTCTTCCCATAGAAACGAGCCAGGAGATTGGGGTGGATCAGGATGCAGGTGTACCTTAGACAGGGCCGGGCTTTGCCATGTACAGCCTCTGTGTCGTCGACACCTTCCCCTAACCCTCAAGCTTTCTGTCGTTGGCTCTGACTCAGAGTTGGAGCTGTGGAGTCCACATGGTGGAAGGAAGGAGGCAGCTACCACAAGTTGTCTTCTACTTCTTAAGTGCACCAACGGCACGCACAAGCCCACACATATAGAGACACACATACAATCAATAAAAATAGAATAAAACCTTTAAACCTTTTTAAAAAGATTAAGACCGGCATGGCAGGAGCTGCATGACTTGAAAGTCACATCACCTCCAGCTTCAGCCAGGGGTGCAGGCAGAAGTCAGCGCAGCAGCCAGTACAGACAGCATCTGACAGAAGCCTTGGACTTCATCTTGTCCACAGGTGGTGCATGTTTCCAGCTGCCCTTCCTCCATTCCACAGGTTTCCGGCCCCTCTTGATGATATAAATTTGAAGCTGGGTGCTTGCACAGTCTCTCCCCGTGTTCTGCCGCTCACACTTGGGGCAGAGCCGATGTCTCATGAGGAGGTCCCCCACACTGACCGGGGTTGGAAAGGGTCCTGTGAGTGGTCTTCGCCAGTGACGATTCTCTTTTCCCTGCATTAGGATCCATCGGCGGTCTCTTCTTTGCTGTCGGCATCGCGCAGTATGCCCTGTTAGGATACTTCATCCGCTCCTGGAGGACCCTAGCTGTCCTGGTCAACCTTCAGGGAACAGCGGTCTTCCTCTTATCTTTGTAAGTAGACTTTTCTCTTGGAAGTTTTGCTCCATAAACAGGAGTGTCTTAGAAGGATGTGAGTAAGCGAGCGAAAGAGCAGCATCCCTTCCTTCAGGAGCTTGCCTGCAGTGAATTCTGGGAAGACTTAAACTGCAAATGTTCAGTTCTTGTCAGCTTATGGAAGAGAGAGATGCTAGTTAATTCGTTCAGAATGTAGGTATCTCATGTTTAGAGTATTCGATTGCATTTGGTCTTCAGTGATTGGAAATTTCTTTCTTTCTTTCCTTTCTTTGTTTCTTTCTCTAGTTCTGGGGGAAGAA